CGTCTCCAAGATACGTAGCAAAGAATGCAGAAAATGAAAATTAAGTTATTGAGAGAAGAGAGCATTTGATTTGAATGATTCAAAAAACATCAAATGATATGGAAGAAAGGAAGGGGTGAATAGTTTTTTGGCAAAGATAGGCCCAGCAGTTTTAGGGATAATGAACAAAAAATCCGACTCGATTTCGGATGATTCAAAAAACATTTTGTTTGTGAAGAAACGATTAGTTTTTGGGGAAAGCAAAAAAAAAATAATTTCAAAATGTAAAATTTTTTTTGTATTTAATTTCCAAAAAAATATTTTTTGAATATCAAAAATGATTCGGATTTTAATTTTAATTCTCAAGTTAAAAATTCTAAATTCACTTATATACTTCAAATGAATAATTTAAACTTTGCAATTCAGTTTATATAAATCTAAGAAATATGAGATTTGATGCTTCATTCTAACTCCGCTTGATCAAGAATTGTTTATTTACTTTTCATGTGAACATATATGAAAGTCATTATCCAATTTATAAGCTCTTATATTTTGTCTATAAAATACAAATAATAAATGTTACAGCATTAGTGAATGTATAATGAATGTTACAGAAACGTGAATAAACAAAACAAATGAAGCGGAATTAGAATGAAGAGCTTTATCTCATATTTCTAAGAATTATATAAACTGAATTGCAAAGTTAAAATTATTTATCACAAGTATATAAGTGAGCATTAGAATTTTAGCCAGAACTAGTGGAGTACATGGCATCGTGCCTTGAGGAAAATTGCTGGAACTTTCCGTACAAACAAAAAATTTGTTTTAATAGATTAGCATTTTGGAAAAAAAATACTTTGAAAAAATTAGATTTTTGAAAACCTATAAATTTTTGAAAAAAAATTATTTTTTTGGAAAAAAGACTTTTTGGAAAAAATGTTTTATTTATTTTGAAATATTTTGGAAGTTCTTAACTTTTTATCAAAGCAATCGTACTGCTTTAACTGCTGACGAAATATCGAAGCGCGTAAGCGCCGTGTCGCCGTCTAACGGATAAACATTAGAGGAATATAAACAAAATTTATACTTATTGTTAAAATCTCTATAAAATATTTTTTGAATTATTAAAATCGGACCGTTTGTGGCACTTTTTGCCCCGTATTTTCGAAACGGCTAGACCTGCCTATGCCAAAAACAAATCAGCACGTCTCCTTATCAACAGCAATCGAATGTTTTTTGAATAATTGAAATCGGTTAAACCGTATTCCCGAAATCGTTGACAAAAATTTGTATCGGCACACATATACATACATACACACGCACCCACACATACATCCATTTTTTCTAAGGTATGCCACAATGTTCAGAAACCTCTGAAACGTAAAGATATATAAAAAAATCATTTTCGATTTTTTTGCGATTACTATAACTAACCCTACGGGAAGTTTATTAAAACTGAAATCCCAATTACGTTTGAAAAATATTTTTTGAAAATTAAGAAAAAAATGGAACAAAACAATTTGGTTTCCTCCAGAAATAATCGTTTCATCAATACAAGCAACAGATTTTTGAATCATTCAAATGGGATGCTTCGTTCTCTCAAAAACTGCCATTTTTTGCACATTTAGCACCGTGTCTCTGAAACGGCTGGTCCTGTTTTTGCCAAAAACTAATCACCACGTCTTCTCATCATTACGAATGAAATGTTTTTGAATCCTTCAAATCGGATGCCTAGCTCTCTCAAAAAACTTAATCGACCTTTCCCAAAAACTAATAAGCACTAATCCCCATAGGTAGAAATCGAATGCTTTTTGAATCATTCTAATTGATTGAGCGGTACTCCCGAAAACGTCGATAAAAAATTGTATCCACACATACATACCGACACACACACATTTTTTTCTTTTGTCCTTTCGATTTTTGAACGATTACAATAATTTACACTATGGAAAGTTACATATATATATATATATATATATATATATATATATATATATATATATACAGGGCCGGTCCTACCTTGAATGCAATGCATGCGAAAAATGCGGGCGCACGCCTTAGGATGCGCCAAAACGAGATTCGGATATGAAATTTATAATATAGTTTTTTTCAACGTCATTCAAGAAATATATAATTTCTTTGCATTTTCTACTAATCTTTGGACAATATTTTCAAAATACTTTAAAACAACGATCTGATACACTATGAGATAGTAAAGATGACTACATACTGTTCGGCCCTTACGATATCAATTATTAGGAAAATATCAATTTTGGATATTTTAAATAATAAAAAATTAAATTTAATTAATCCAACATGAAGTACCGGTATTATGTTTATTATTGAAAGCCTAGAATTTTTTTGCCCTCTATAATTTGCTCACTAGATTAAATCGCATAATATTCCCAAAATAAATAAGAAAAATGTTTCAAACCCCAAATATGATTATTACAACTGCATTAGAAATAATTGCTAATTTAAAAATATTCTTGCAAGCAATAATAAACATGCTGAAATTTTTGGATGTCCTAAACAATTTTTGTATTAAAAATTTAGATAGAAGACAACAATTTGATTATGAGCACCCTCGAATCCCCTCGATCTTCTAAATAAATCTAAATTCAATGTTCTTATGCGGTTTTATATTATATATGATTTTTTGTGTACTAATCCACAAATATTGAAACGTATTTTAAACTAGTTGATATTGCTATTTCGCCTTGAGGCAAGTTACATGAACTTTCCGATATGTGTAAATAATCGACTTAACCAATAAAAAATAAATTAATTTATGAGTGGATTTATTACACAAAATTGAAAACGAACGAACACGTTAACTCGGAGTATTTTCAAAAAGCAACTTTTCAAAAAGCAACAATTATTATATTTGAACCAGTTTCCGTAGGATTTTAATTGTTTAGTATGTTTATTAAGACCAAGTACTATATTGTTATACCAAGTAAATCGTCTAATTTTAATTTTAGCTAACGTCGAAAAAACTACTCATTTTCTCAAACTTTGATGAAATTTTAAAATTAAATTACTTGTCATAAGGCCGTAATATTACAGTAAGTTCTATAAGACCATGATATATATCGCTAAAAAAAATCCATAAAAATCGGCTTAAATTTTTTTTTCAACAGTTAATTACAAGAAAACGGCTCGGTAGATTTTCACCTAAAACTAATCAGTACCATTCCCAACTAATACCTTTCGAACAGTTTGATTTTTTAAAATCGGTTCGGTAGGATGAGCTTAAATGAGAACGAAAAGTTAAACACTTTTTTTCAAATTACAAAGAAACGGCTTGGCAGGTCGTCACACAAAACTGACAAACGATAGTCCTCATTGAGATGCGTCAAATGGCTTTTAAATTTTTGAAATCTATTCAGGCGTTTTTGAGCAAACGTCGATGAAATGTCTAATTTTGACAAATGCCAAAAAAACGATACCAATTTTTGCAAACTTTGACGAATTTTCAATGTTAAACCAATTGTCGTAAGGGCCGTAATATTTTAGTATGATCTAGAAGACTATAGTATCTACCGTCAAAAAAATAATAATGAAAATCGGCGAAAAAATTTTTTTCACACTTCATTACAAGAAAACGGCCCGGCCGATCTTTACCAAAAAATAATCAGCACGATTCCCAATCAATATCTTTCGAACGGTTTTTGAATTTTCATAATCGGTTTAGAATTGCGGGCTAAAACGTGGACGAAAAATTTTTCACTTTTCTGCTATTTATAAAGAAACGTCTCGGCCGATTGTCTCACAAAACTGACAAACGATAGTCCTCGTCGAGATACATTGAATGGCTTTTAAATTTTTGAAATCGGCCCAGCCGATTTCGAGAAAACGTCGATTTACGGCAAAAAATCTGATCACATACACACACACACACATACTTTTTTCAAATTTGGTCTCATTCAATTCAGAATGGCTTGAAACGTCGAGAAAACATAAAATTAGCGAATTGGATTTTTTGATGAAAACATAAACTTCTCCTTCGGAACGTAATTGTTTTCTAATTTTAATGATGAACTGTTAATACACTTATTAAAATAATAGAAAAAGGAGGGCCGCTAGAAAAAAATGGCATGCAGGCGCTGAGGACCCCAGGACCGGTCCTGTATATATATATATATATATATATATATATATATATATATATATTGTTGAGAATTGTGTTCTTTATAATTATAAATAATAGTCATAAGTAAATTCCTTTGAACGATGTATACTCCCAAGTAACGGTAAATGTTGCGAATATTTTGTACATCTGCCAGACAACCCTTAATAAAAGTTTATGATAGCTCATGTACCTTCGGCGAGCTATCATAAAACTAGAAATATTGGAAATATTTTAAAAATGTAAAAATATAAGTTAGTTAGTCCTGAACTCTTGAACAAGCAACAACTGAAATATTATAATAAAACGATAAATAAATTTTTGTATCTAAATAAATTCTTTGATTTCACACATTTCCCGAAGAGCTACAAATGTTCCAATTCTCGTATTCAAAAGTATTCAAAATAAAACCCAAATCTACTCAAGAATTATTAAAAATTGGTTACATTTAATTATTAATTAGTAAATTGATTACTAACGTCTCTTCAATATATATACATATGTGTGTGTGCGTGTGTGTGTATGGTGTTAAAATTGAGAGATCTTACAAAAATGTGTGCATAGAAAATTAAAAATGTCCTTGAATTTATAATAAAAAATGTACATACATACAAATTTATAAATACACAAATCATATACATGAAAACGTCAATATAATTTATAAATAATTGTAACAAATAAATTCCAAATTGTATCATTTAATTTCACTTTTATGATGATTCAATAACTGTTTTCAAGTATTTGTGCAAAATCATACAAAAAGTATGAGTCAAAACGTGCTTATATATTTACTATGCCTACACATTTATGGTCATGTAAACATATACGAATTTGATCTTATTATAAATGAAAGTGCTCAAACAAAATAAATATTCAGCAATGTATTTACCTTATAACAATATCCTTGTCGTTTCTCCGTTCGATAATCAACTAAAATCACCACTTTTTTTAAAATAACTATTATGTGTGGTCCATTGTGTATTGTACAGATAAGGATGGTGCCATATGTCAAAGTACGATCTGGGGAGAACACAGAGCACTCGGATGCGAACTCGAATGCGACGGAACGCGAATGACGAGCGGAGACATGCGAATGACGTTCCGAAACGCGGCAGCGCCACTGCGGGCGGTAGAACAAGTTCTGATTACACAGAGGCACAGAGACGTAGTCGGGGCAAATTCATTTTTACTGAAAATTTATTTATCCCGTAGAAGTTAATATATGTCGATAAGGACTCGTGTTTTCACTTTTCCGTGACAAGTCGTTTTTTAACTTCTCGTAGGGTGAGTTATAGTAATCGCAAAAAAATCGAAAATGAAGTTTTTTATATATCTTTTCGTTCACGTTACCTCAGAAAAAAATGAGTGTGTGTGTATGTGCGTGCGTGTGTGTGTGTGCGGATACAAATTTTTGTCGACGATTTCGGAATCACCGATTTGATTAATTCGAAAAACATTCAATTCGTATAATGATATGGCGACCTGCTGATTAGTTTTTGGCAAAAGCAGGTCTAGCCGTTCCGAAGATACGGGGCAAAGAGTGCCAAAAACGGTAACTCAGTTTTTAAGGGAACAGAGCGTCCTGTTTCAATAATTCAAAAAACATTTATTAACAAGATGAAGAACTGACTACATATTTGTGAAGGCAGGTTCAGCGGTTATGGACTTTCAATAAAAATAAGTTAAACTAGTGGGGTGTATGGCATCGTGCCTTAAGGCAAATTGCTGAAACTTCTCGTACCGTAACGAAATGTTCGAGGAATACTGAATGTTTTCAAATAGATTATTATAAATATTGTAACATTGTCTAATATTTATAAGAATTATATAAACTGAATTGCAAAATTAAAATTATTTGTTTAATATATTAGAACTTTAGTCAGAATTAAAAATAAAATCTGAATTATTTTGATATACAAAAAAAACTAAAAAAAAAAAACAAAAAAAAAATGATACCATTTTTTTTCGAAAATCAATTATTTTGTTAAAACAAGCTGAAAGTTCTTTGAATCATTTAAATTGGACGCTTAGTTCTTTCAAAAACTGCCATTTTTTGCACGTTTAGCTCTGTATCTTCGAAATGGCTGGGTCTGCCATTGCCAAAAACTAATAATCACTTCTCCCAATCATTACTAATTGAATGTGTTTTAGATCATTCAAATCGGATGCTCCGTTCACTCAAAAACTCGATTTCTATTTTCTGCACTCTTTGCTCCGTATCTCCGTAACGGCTGAATCTGCCTTTGCCAAAAACTAATCGGCGCATCTTCCTATCAATAGGAATCGAATGTTTTTTGAACCATTCAAATCGGTTGATCCGTGCACCCGAAAACGTGGACGAAAAATTGTATCCATACATACATAAACACACACACACACATCCATTTTTTCTGAGGTATGCCAAAATGTTCAGAAACCTTCAAAACGTCGAGAAATGTAAAAATTTTCAATTTCGATTTTCGGCCCATTACAATAACTTACCCCACGGGAAGTTAAAAATGTCATTTGGCAGTCAAAAATGTTTATTGGACATATGTACATCAAATTATCAGATATTTTATGGAGATTTTTAATAATGTTTAACAAGGCACGATGCAATTCACCCCACTACTTTTTAATTAGATAAAATGTGTAAAATTTTTAGTCCACATTTTAGCCAAAATTTCTGAATCTTTTAATAATTCAAACACTGTTAACAGTTAATTTTTATTCCGAACCAATTAGAAATTTCTAATTAATACGGAATAAAAATATAATTGCAATAATTATGCATAACTAAGGTAAGTTATAGTAATTGCAGAAAAACGAAAATGAAAATTGTCTTGCTTTACGTTTCAAAGGATTGTGAACTTTTAGGCCATTTAGGCAAACTTTAGAAAGATGGATGCATGTGTTTATGCATGCATTCAAATTTTCGATGACGACATCGAGAGCACGGATCAATCGATTTCATTGCTTCAAAAAGCTTTCGATTCCTATTAATGGGGAGACGTGCTAATTAGTTTATGATAAAGGCGGGTCGAGCCGATGCGAGAGGGGCAAAAAGTGTAAAAACGGCAACTCAGTTTTTGAGCGAATTCATTGAATCATAGGTTTAGGGGTTTTAAAAAGTTTTAAAACATGCCACTTAACAGACAAAAATTATAATTGCACATCAAATAGTCATTTATTTTATAAACTTATAGACATTTTAAAATAAGATCAAAAAGTATAATAATTATTTTCACTTCCTTGGATTCCGTATCAAAATTTATATAGTTCAAAAATGATCTCGAGATTTTCGACAATATGGTTCAAACGACTTGAATGGATTCCAATCTTTCAAAATATTTCAAAATTTCAAAAAAAGCTAATTATTTCAAAATTTTCAAAAAACCCAAAGCTTTTAAGGATTAAAACTTTTCAAAGTCGTTTTTTAGAAAATTTCAAAATTCTTAAAAATCATTTATTTCAAACAATTTAAAAAAGGAAGGTTTCTACATTTTGCCTTAAGGGACGATGCAATGCACCATTATTGTGTAAGATTCCATTTAACAAATTAACTTGTAAATGCAGCAGAAACGAATCAAAGACGTATTCGCGCAACAAATCGTTATATCTGTGGCATTACACCACCAGCATGTTTATTTATTATGATCAGCTACGTGATGTAAAGAGTTTATTGCGTCTAGCTGATTTCAAACGTCAAACGTCTAGCTGTAACGTATTTCAAATAAAACTCACCTACACCTAGTTTATAATTTAATTTCCACGGTTGTCAGATTGTTTTTATGTCTGTTGTTTATACCTAATTGATTTTATTAACTGCATGACGGGCATTGGAATTGGAACTGGGCAACTGGGCTGATGAGGAACATCCTCTCACAATGGCCTTCAATAAGTATTTTGTCATTTAACTGGATTTATTCATTCGTTGACTCGAACGAATGGCTTGAATCAATAAAAATTAATATTTAGAAACCATTTTTAACTGTATTTACTTTATTTCGAAAATAAAGTTTTCGCTTTTACTAAAACTAATCAATGCAATTTATATTTGGTGTCTTGCAAACTTATCTGTAATTGTATTAACACGTATTTGAAAGAAAGCTGATTATTTCAAACTTTAATATATAATTGTCTGACTGAGACTGAGATACAGTATATACGAATTATATCAAATAAATAAATAAATAAATAATAAATAAAATAAATAAATAAATAAATTTCTATAATTAAATCACTTTTCTTTCATAAACTTTATCATCATAACATTAATTAATTTAGATTAAAATACAATAAAATAATTAAAGGATAGTATTTCCTTCGAAACGCTATCTTGCTGATGACAATATAATTCAAGATAAAAAAATTCAAAATTTATTAAAACTAGTGGTATGTATGGCACCGTGGCTTAAGGCAAATTGCTGGAACTTTCCATACCGCAACGAAATGTTCGAGGAATATTAAATGTTTTTAGATAGATATTAAATGTTTTAGATTGTTATAAAATACTGTAACTCTGTCTAATATTTATAAGAATTATATAAACTGAATTGCAAAGTTGAAAATATTTGTTTAGTATATCAGAACTTAAGTCAAAATTACAATTAAAATCTGAATTATTTTCGATATACAAAAAAAATTTTTGTTCAAAAGCAATTATTTTGTTAAAACAAGCAGAAAGTTCTTTGAATCATTCAAATCGGACGCTTAGTTCCCTCAAAAACTGCCATTTTTTGCACATTTAACTTTATATCTCCGAAACCGCTGGACCCGCCTTTGACAAAAACTAATCGCCACTTTTCTCCGTCACTACGAATTGAATGTTTTTTGGATCATTCAAATCGGATACTCCGTTCTTTCAAAAACTCGATTTCTATTTTTTGCACTTTTAACTCCGTATTTAATTACCCATGAATTCAATGCAATAATGAGACTAAATTACTGGCCAACTTGTTTCACATTGGCTTCCATTATAATGGTACTAAAAGTTGGAAAAGACCCCAACATTGTTAGTTCATACAGGCCAATAAGTCTACTGCCAATAATTTCAAAAGTATTTGAACAGTTTCTACTAGAAAACATTGCAAAAGAGTTAAATATTGTTCCGGACCATCAATTTGGCTTCCGTAAACAACACTTCACTATACAGCAGTATCATCGTATAGTTGATACTGTCAACAAAGCTTTCGAAGCCAAGAAGTACTGTTCTGCCGTGTTCCTTGATGTAAGCTAGGCGTTTGACAAAGTCTGATACTTTGGTCTTCTATATAAAATCAGAAATCTTTTACCATCATACATAAAATTCTTTGAATTTTACTTATGCTCAAGAAAGTTTCAAGTAAAAATCGGCCAAGAATCAACTGAGCCCAAACTGGTGAACGCAGGTGTTCCTCAAGGCACCATCTTAGGTCCATTTCTTTATCTATTAGACACGAGTGATTTTCCAGAATATGGTGATTCTACTTGTTGTACTTTTGCCGATGATATCGCAATCTTAACCTCTGATCTAGATCCCAAAGTAGCCTCACAGAAACTGAAATGTCATCTTAACAAAATCGAGACCTGGTCCAAAATATGGAAAATAAAACTCAACGAGGCCTAATCGAAGCATACAACCTACAACCTTTTCGCTGAGAAAAGACACCTGTTCTCAAGTATCCCTAAATCAATGTACAATACCACAAACCGATGTGGTCAAATACCTGGGCATGGCTTTACTCATTGGTGTACTCTAGATAATTATTTCTTTTATGTTTTTATCAAAAAATCCGATTCGCTAATTTCATGTTTTCTCGACGTTTCAAGCCATTCTGAATCGAATGAGACCAAATTTGGAAAAAGTATGTGTGCGTGTGTGTGTGTGAATGTAAACAGATTTTTTGCCGTAAATCAACGTTTTCTCAAAAGCGGCTGGACCGATTTCAAAAATTTAAAAGCCATTCGATGTATCTCGATGAGGACTAACGTTTTTGAGTTTTGTGTGACGATCGGCCGGGCCGTTTCTTTGTAATTGGCAGAAAAGTGAAAAAATTTTGTCCACGTTTTAGCCCGCAATTCTGAATCGATTTTAAAAATTCAAAAACCGTTCGACAGATATTGGTTGGGAATCGTGCTGATTAGTTTCTGGTAAAGATCGTCCGGGCCGTTTTCTTGTAATAAAGTTTTTAAAAAATAAATTTTGACGATTTTTATGATTTTTTTTTTGACGGTAGATATCATAGTCTTGTAGATAATACTAAAATATTAGGGACCTACAAGTCGTTTAATTTTAAAAATTCTTCAAGGTTTTCAAAAATTAGTATCGTTCTTTTAGCATTTGTCAAAATTAGACCTTTGATCGACGATTTCTCAAAATCTTAATTGTTTGTCAGTTTTGTGAGACGATCTGCCGAGCCGTTTCTTTGTAATTTGAAAAAAAGTGTTGAAATTTTGGTCCACATTTAAGCCCATACTACCGAATCAATTTTAAAAAATCAAAAACTGTTCGAAAGATATTAGCTTGGAATGATACTGATTAGTTTTAGGTGAAAATCTACAGAGCTGTTTTCGTGTAATTAACTGTTGAAAAAAAATGTTTAAGCCGTTTTTTATGAAACTTTTTTTGGCGATATATATCATGGTCTCATAAAACTTACTGAAATATTACGGCCTGACAAGTCGTTTAATTTTAAAAATTCATCAAAAATGAGTAGTTTTTTTGACGTTGGTTAAAACTAAAATTAGACGATTTACTTGGTATAACGCTAGAGTACTTGCTCTCAATGCACATACTAAACTATTAAAGTTCTACGGAAACTGGTTCAATTATAAAAATTATTGATTTTTGAAAATTTGCTTTTAGAAAATACTCGAGTTAACGTGTTCGTTCGTTTTCAATTATGTGTAATAAATCCACTCGGAATACTTTTAATAACTCATAAATTAATTTATATTTTATTGATTGAGTTCACACATATTGGGAAGTTCATGTAACTTGCCTCAAGGCAAAATAACATTACCAACTAGTTTTAATTTTTTTTCTTTCGATTCCTCTCCTTTGTGTCACAATAGCTTATGAGATTAAATTGCATTGTGATTGCTATTAATAAATAAATTTAAAAAAAACTCCGTATCTCTGTAACGGCTTTGACTTTGCCAAAAACTATAATCAGCACATCTTCCTATCAATATAGGAATCGAATGTTTTTCGAACTATTCAAATCGGTTGATTCGTACGCCCGAAAACGTGGACGAAGAAATGCGGACCATTCCATTTTTTCTGAAGTATGCCAAAATGTTCAGAAACCGCTGAAACGTGAAGATATGAAAAATCAAGATAATTGGTAGACAGGTAAATTATTGAGCAGGTAAATTGTTAAACAGGTAAATTGTTAAACAAGCAAATTGTTGAACAGGTAAATTGGTAGACTGATAAACAGGTTGATAGATATACTGGTGGACAGATAAATGCTTGGACTAGTAAATTGATGGTTAAGTAAACTGGTAGACAGGTAGATGGATAGGTGGATGGTCATATGTAGAGATAGACTGAAGGACAAAAAACTGGTAGACTTGATGTAACAAATATGCATTTTTGTTCAAATTTTTAATTGAAAATTAAACACTGAAAAGCGTGAATGGGTACGCCTGGTGTGATATCAAACTCTCAAAAAATGTAAACGCGTTATTGCATACAAAACATATATGCAACTGTTACACCAAATAAGTTTATGGATAAATGTTACATAAAAAAATTATTGGCATAAGTTTCACAATTATGTAACCGTCTTCCAGCATGGTCAGTCATGTTTTTCTCAGGATGTATGTGTTTGTGTTTTACAAATATACCAAAACAATTTTTTTACATACTTTACAGAGGCAAAAATTAGCATTTGTTGTGTTTCAATGTGCGGTGATAATTCATCCGGACATTTGAATACTTTATCACTTCGCATTTATCGCATTCAAGTGATTTATCATGTATTTAACTTAAGCATGTTACTTCGCTAGAAGTGAAGTAGTACTTTTAGCGATTGTATACAAAACCATTGATTGTACATACATTACACAAATGATCTCGTCATACTCGTCATACTATTTGCCCCTAGATTTCTCGCATTATGTACACTTTTGACTTCAAAAATATTACTAACTAGCTGTAAGTGAAATTCTGTCTTAAGGGGGTTGTTCTTTTTTTGTTACAAAAAACGCAAGGTATTTGTTTTTGTTTTTTCTCGAAATGTATTTATCATAGAGACATGCGGTTTTTTTTTAAACAAAAGTTACAAAATCATAGAATATTACGTGATTTTCTTCTTTTTTTTGCGCCGTCATTTTTTAACCAGGGGGCGCCAAAGTCGGTCTTGCAAAATCGATCTCTTTTGCGGTGCCACAGATAAATCCGTTGCGCATCGCCCGAAACAAAAAAAAAAAGAAATTACGTTGAAGAAGAAGTTTGTTTCCTGTCCCCCCACCAAAATGAAAGAAAAAAAGCAAGAAGGAAAAAAATGACAGCTATTTATAAAAAAAGTGTCAAAAAAGGCTTTTTTGGGGGGGCGAGAAGCTTCGCAAAATTTTTTTGCGTTATGTTATCAAGTTGTTTGAGGTAGGGGGACTAGGTATTGCAGTGGTGAGCAAATTAAAAAAAAATGCAAGTCGATCCGACTTGTAGTTTTTGTTTAATTTGTGGCACCGCATTGAAAAAAGTCAATTTGAAAAAAACGTATTTAAAGTTCTTAATATAATGTACAGAATACACCATTTAATTTAATGTACGAAATACACCATGGTGTTCAAAGATGCTGACACATTAAAAAGGTCATGTGCATGAGGTATTCAAATGAAAAAGAGGAAACTGGCATACAATAGCTCGCGGAGCGATAAAAAAACGCTTTCAGAGGATCATACATATAGAGATAAATATATCTATAACTTCGTCAAAAAATAGATATTGAGATGATTTTTTTTTTAAAATGATTCTAAGGTTTTTATCTTTCATAATATCAAAAAATCTCAAAACCGAAACAAAGAAAAATAAAAAAAGAACAACCCCCTTAAGGCAATTAGGGCATCGTGCCTTAAGGCAAATTGCTAGAACTTCCCGTACCAAATATTATTATTTTTTTAAAAACGATCAACATTTTTGAAAAAATTTTACTTCGTAAATATTAGATTTTTGAGAAACTAGGAATTTGACAAAAAATTACTTTTTTTGAAAAAAAAATTAAGAATTAAAATTAAAATCTAAATTGTTTTTGATATACAAAAAAAAAATTTTTAATAATTTTTTTTTCCAAAACCAATTATTTTGTCAAAACAAGTAGAAAGTTTTTTGAATCATTTAAATCAAATGCTTAGTTCTCTAGAAAGTTTTTTGAATCATTCAAATCAAATGCTTAGTTCTCTCAAAAACTACAATTTTTTGCACATTTAGCTCGGTATCTCCAAAACGGCTGAATCTGCTTTTGCCAAAAACTAATCACCACTTCTACCCGTCATTACGAATTGAATGTTTTCTAGATCATTCAAATTGGATGATCCGTTCTCTCAAAAACTCGATTTCTATTTTCTACACTCTTTGCTCCGTATCACCGTAACGGCTGGACCTGCCTTTGCCAAATACTAATCAGCACATCTTCCTATCAATAGGAATCGAAGCATTTTTTTAACCATTCGAATCGGTTGATCCATGCGCCCGAAAACGTGGACGAAGAAATAAGAACACACAAAACACACACATCCATTTTTTCGGAGGTATGCCAAAATGTTCAAATTATTGCATTGTAAGTTTAATAGAAGACTGCTATTTTTCCTCCAATGTTACTTCAACTCTATTCAACCACGTCTCAGCATGCTTGTATTAAAAGCAGGGGTCACCATGGAAGTATCAGGTTGAATTTCAGATAATTCTGCACGATTCAAATCATTAAGACTCATATTAATCTCATTGTCTGCAATGCGAGAGATACTTTGTTCTTGTAAATTACTAAATCCTGGCGCATATAAGTTATTTGTTCCTGGCAGTTTATAGTTTGAGACCAAAATTGAATTGGCAATTGAAGCGTATTCTTCACCTAAACTACTTAAAGTATTCAATGAAAAACCCATAGCCCCCAAATTCATAGTACCTTGGTTACCATTAACATTCCTTAGTTCATGCATAGCTCCTCGTCTCAAGCCACTAACAAATCTGTGTGCTTCATGAGGCATTGCCCAATCTGGGTTCGTAAGAGCAAAATGCAATAACGACAATTCAGTTTTTCCATGCTCTCCTTGAGTATACTGATTCACTGTGGGTTTTGCATGGCCTCCATAATCTACTTGAGACTCATTTGGAGAGCTTGTTTGCCAATCAGGATTACCATGCTTACGTACATCCATTTGTGCAAATGAGCACACATCTCCGACTCCAACAACAGCAACTGTAAAGTTCCGATAGAAGTCTACTATGTCTAACGCCTTCGGTCGCAGCCAAAATAATAATATAAAAGGTGTTGTTAGTGGACTGATGAGCTCATAAAATAGATACACAGCTTTATATTGAAATAGTTGACTAAAAGAGTCTCTCACGGATGTAGTGTGTGCGTATCCCCTCCAAGATGCCGGTAAATAATGAACATGTGCTAGAACACCTGCTAGTAGTTGCTCAGGACACCAAACTAAGTTTTCATCAGGTATAAACAATCTGCATGTAGCAACTACAGCCCCAAGTATTGTCATTATAGATAAAACATGTTCGACTGCTAATACATCTTCATCATAAACTGTTAATATTAGAAGAGTAGCCAATACACCGCCAGCAATGAAGGCTATGTTTCTTGCAATCACAGTCATTAATGGTGAAGAAAAAGCTGAAATGTATCTAACAGCAGGTCTGTAAGCCCTTGTCAACCTAGCATTTAACTCATGATCCAACTCATTAAAAATGTCTCAAGTATAGGCGGGCGTATTGTGACCAGGCTCTAGCACCTAAAGTTCCTGGTTCGCGCTTAATCATTTCACCATAGTTGAAAAATAAAAACATTAGTTGCCACAGAAATACTAAAGGGCACAGAATCAGGTTGGCGAGAGCAACATACATAATATGCTTAGATAAATCAGCAGCTAGTTCATTCCTCTTGGCAGATTTTTTATAATCATCTCTTAAATGCCAATTATTTTCAAAAGGAGACCATGGTCCCCAAAATAATAAAAATTCCATATTTTCTTTTAACCCATGAGATAAAAAAATAGTTTCTCCAATAAATGGTACTTGAAATTTAACTGGCAATAAACTTTTGTTGATCATAGCAACCATATAATTCTTAAATCTTAAAATTCTATGATATATATCGAGCTCTGTCAATTGTGCTTTGTGAATGCACATTTGTTGTTCACTTTGGACATCTCTTACTCTTTTTTGAACTTCATGCCAAGTCAAATTATCAAGATCAACATCATCAATTTTTAAAGCAATATTAAAAAAATGCTTTATATCCCAGTAATGTGCTAAATGATACACGGAACGTGCAAGTCTTAACAACCAGCAGAATCCTGCTAAGCAAAGGCAGGTCCAAGCCACCACTCCCAAACTGGAGATACATTCTGAAGGATCAAGAACAACATCTGAAATTGTTACTTTAGAGTGATTTGAATCCGGTGGTTTTTCTTTGAACAAAACTTGGTAATCAACACAATGCCACAAAAAAGTCGTAAAAAATATAACAAATACAAATTGTGCTAGGCTGAAAAACTCTGCTAAAATCATAACATTGAACCCATGTTTCTGATGATAACAATACATTCGTAGAAAGAAAGAATCTAAGTCTTCGATGTGGGTCCACCGAGCCATGTTTGGCTCAGGGGCCACATGTATTATGAGGCCACCGTCCTGGGGCGTCTCATCATCATCAGGATCATGTACAGGCTTCGGTAAGGCATCATTGTATGGTTCCGTACTAGCATATCTCAATTTCTTTGTTGCGTGTATGGATACATTAGTCTCATCTAAAATCGGGCTATGTTCATTTTTTAAAGTATTGTATCCTTCTGGCTTCGACATAACTAATAATTTTGTCCCCGAACGGCGAGTGAGATGTTAGTGAATGTGCATTTTTAATTTTTCGATGACTTTGTAAATGTCAAAAGTGACGCATCTGTCAAATCATCGGAAAGTTGCGGTTTGTATTTTGGCACTGAAAATGGCTTTAGAGTGGATTTAATAGCAGAATTAGATAGTGCACTTGTTTACGTAAAGGGTTAATAGATATTGACTAAAAATAAATATGTTTATTCATTGTGACACTGCGCATAACCTCAACTAAACTGCACCAACTGCGCAACATTTCGTATAATTTTTGACATATCATTTCACAGGTATAAATATGCACATATGATCGCGGACATGGACTATATTGCGATTAGGGATAAATCCAATGTCCGACCCACACATAGATAAAAGAAGAGTATGTATTCCCATACTCATACTCTTCTTTTATCTATGGTCTCAATATTATCATATAAAAGAATTGCAGATAAATATTTTTTAACCAATAATATAATTGGTTAAATTGGTGTATAATTTAGGCATTAACAAATATATTCTAAATTATTTTAATTATCAAAATGATATAAATAGTTTCCAAACATATTTAAATAAAAAATGAATTCGTCAAAATTACTACATTTGTAAATTGATTTGTATAAAAGTTATCCATTAATTTATATAATCCATTTGACCATAGATATCACTGATCTTTGCGATTCTTTCATCTATGGCATCTATGTCTTCGCGTCACTTTGATTATCTATGGTTGCTCATCATTTGTGTTTACGTTTTTAAACGAACTTGGAATCAAATAACAAACGTCAAACCGACTTATAAATTATTATTTTAATTTAAATAAATTACATATTTTACGATCAATATGATTTCATAAGCTTTAAATAAATATGTTTTAATAAATTTTTAATATATATTATTATTATTTGTATAAAATAGTGTTAAATATGGATAGCAAAACACCGGAGCCTCAGGATAGTAAGCAAGTATTAGAATATTATAGATTATTCGGGAAAGATAGAGATATTAGACAATATTTAACATTGCCTCCTATTTTGGACTTAAATGATTCTAATGGTACATTATGTGATGATAAAAATCAAAGTCAATTGAACAAAAGTGAAGAAGAAGTTGTGCAAAATATATGCACTGATGAAATCCCCGAAGAAAATGTTAAAACATCAAACCCAAAACTTAGCGAAATTGATGACAAAACAGACTCTGAACGTCCTTATATTGAACATTCAACTAAATCTAAACATAAAACAAATGATTCAAAGCACAGAGATTTTGTATTTAATCTAGAGTCTCAAATAGAGATAAATTATGACTTAAGTGCTCCTAATGATTTTGAAGACATTCGTCAAGTTAAATTTGAAAAGGTACCTTCAAAGCCTAAAGGTATTTTGAAATTTGATGATAAAACTGTAGAGCCTTTGTCAAGCACAGATCAAGGTACTATGACTAGACGTAATACTGTTTCGCCCACTAGTAGTGTTGCATCAAATAAACGTCTAGAATGGGACTCCTTGGCTGATATTGGATACAGAAACCCTGATGATATAGATGCTAAAAAGCCTTTAAGCACATTGGAACGTATAGCTTTACAACAAGGTCATAAAACACGATACGGTGAGCCAAAAGAGGCCTCTCCGGAAAATGTAAGGATGCAATCTGAAGTTTCCAGGAAAGATGTAAAGGTTCGAAAATTTATAGGAAAACCGACTGCTGAATCAACGCCACTTGTGCTAAAAACTGATGAATCAAAACAGAATTTAGAGTATATCTCAAATATTAAGTCTATGGAAGAAAAATTTGTAGAGCCATTGCCTGATAATAATGATAGAAAGATTTTGAAGCAACATAAGTCTTTAAATGATATTGATTTGAAATCATTGACTACAAAAAAAGCTGACAAATACATACAAACCACTTTGACCAGAAATACTGATAAGACCTCTATACACAAAAATCCGAACAAAGTTTCTGATGAGGATGATTCTGAAAAGTTCTCGAAAGAAAGTAAAGAAAACGTTAGAGGTACCCCAGTGAAAGTCACATCAAAATCTAAAATGTTGAAGAAAAGAATGGCAAGACGCAAACTGATTTCCATCCAGACTTCCTTAACAGATGAAGATTCATCTCCGGGTAAGCCTAATGAAAACATTTTAGAAGTGTTGAAAAATGACAACAGATTTAATATTTCACAATCTTCCTTGGGATCTAATATACATACCACATCCCAGGTAAACGAAAACATGATAACTATAGCAGATAGTTTTGAATATGTGTCCCGATGCCTTATGATGATAAATCTAACAAGAATTCAGATTATGATAATACTTCTTCAGTAACAAAATCTGAAACCGCTCAATCGATAAAAAGTAAGATCAGAAAGGAATCATCAAGTAGTAATAATTATATGACAACAGGAACTAGTACAAATTTATCTAGCAATAAAAATGATCCTTTATTCGATGATGTGAAATTATCTACATTGAATAACGATATAAAAACTGGTATACGTTTACTGAATTGTATGATGTACAGTAAAAAGGGTAATGTAGAGTTAAAGAAAAAAATGGTTAAAAGAATTGTTAAAAGGCTTCTGGAAGTAAATTATGGCGACGATACAGCTACTTCTGATGTTTCAAGACCACAATCAAAATTGAAAGAGTATACTTCGAGTACAACAGGAGTTAATAGCTGTGATTCAAAAACTTCACAAGCAGCAAGTCCTGATCCGAGTTATTCTTTGCCTGAAAATTTAGTAGCTAATGTGCCTTGGAAACCATACAAATTTGCTCAAGGTGTAGATTTCATTAGAGTTCCAACTAAACCAATGGCTAACGACGCACCTGTTATTCACGAAGAAAAACCAAAAAGTGTTTTTACCATACGAGGCAAAAATGATTTTACCTGCCAAGATCAATCGTTTCAAGACTTAGCTCAAAATCATTTGAAATCTGTGGAAAAGCTAAATATGTTGAATGATCAGCAAAAAATGTTGGAACAAAATTTACTTCAACAACAAATCAGAACTGAACAAAATCACGACAAATCACAAGGAATTGGGTTAATAAATTATGCAAAACAAGAAAAAGATATACAACTGGCTTGGATAAACTCGGAAATTGAACATTTGAATTATCTAAAAACGTTGCTGGAAAATAATCAACCCGAGAAGACAAAGTTTGATTCACTTGGTCCTTATAAAGTTAGCGAAAGAGGTGATACTAAATTTGACTTTAATTTCTTTTCTGAACTAGGTAAAATACCAAATCGTAACATGATATATCCATTGGTAACAGATTTTGAAGTAAAATCTACTAGTAGATCATGTCCATGTCGAAATATGATGGAAAATCCATCAGTTTCTCAGAAAACTGCAGAACCAAGACGTACATCTTTAAAAAGTGACACTTCCAGTAAACAAAGTCTGATAGACAGTAGTTATACATCTAAAACTTCCTTAAAATCCAAAGAAAAACAAATGCCAACATCTGAAGAAAAAGGTTCCTCTCCTTCTTCAAGTAAGGAGTCAATTCGCGAGCAATTGAAAAAACTTACAAGAAGCATAGAAATGTTAAAGCAATCGACACAACTTGCTAAAGACAATCCAAGCACCCGCAGTTCTTGCATAACATATCCTGAATGGGATTCACACATAAATGTCAGCAGGCCCTATTCTGAAGTAATCGGCATAGACCAGGCTCAGAAACAAAAAATAGTTGCATCAAAGTCATCTGGGCATTCAACAAAATCTAAACCTTCACCAGATATTTCAACAAAGTCTAAAGATAAAAATGATATCAAGAGCAATGTTTTATCAGAGAATATATCAGAACATAAGTCATCTTCTCATTCTAAGCTTGTCGAGTCATCAGGAACACATACGTCTTTAAAATCTGCTACGATATCTATAAGTGGACAAAACAAATCAACAGAATCATCTCCGGGATGGGAAAGTTATGAAAAGACATCCACAAGAAAACCACAAGTTCAAACAATCAGTACTCAAACATCCAATCGCAACAATTCTGATAAAATGGTGGAAGCTGTTATGGTTAGTTGTAATCATTGTAAAAAATGTTCTTGCAAATGCAGTAAAAAAACTCAAACGTTAGAAAAGAAACATGGTAAAACATCAAAGCCACCTGTAGCTTATATTTTAACATTTGAAAGTGAATCGACACCGACAAATAGTTCTAGGAATGGAAGAAAGCCTTCGCTGGATGAAGTTAAGGTCAAATTACCTTACAATCGAGAAAACAGAAGTAGACATCCTAAAACCAACAAGCACAAAAAAATGAATAATGAAAAAACTGTTATCACTGTATTCGACAATAAGTCAAGATTTATTTCTGAAGGCTCTGCAGAATTACAAACTATTAATCTGGGAGATTTTGACAACCTCAAGACCGATAGTTACTCGGAGGATACTGAAAATACTGCTGGTACTTTGAATGAAAGTACTCTGCTAAGTACATCAACTGATAGTTTTCTGGTGGCTCGAGAAAAGAAGCAGAATGGAAATAGGAAACATAACCCGACTGTGCAGGAGTGTTTGGTTATTTACAAAAGTGATTTTGTGAAGAAAGCTGATAGACGGAGAGATGTTATTAATAGAATTGCAGAATTAAGGTAATGAATATTTAGTGAATGGTCTCGTCTATATGTCACCATACATAGTCGATTGGTATTTAAGTAATTTATTTTATATAAGAGTTAATTAACGAATTAATGAATTGTTTTATTTAAAGAACCCAGAGAAATAATGAAAGGAAAAAGCTTTTGCAGTTGATTGAAGAAGAACCGAAACTAAAAACAGAAATAGCCAATGTCCAAAAGATGTTGCCTCAGAAAACAAGTCAGTAACATTATGTAGTTTATTTACGTAATGCATGATAACTTGTAGAAAAAATTAATATAATTATTTATTGTCACATATATATTTATTTATGTTCAGACAGAAAATCTAAATAGCTAATGTTTACATTCAAGACATTATGAATTTGTCATTAAAATTAGAAAAAGTATGTATGGTTATGTATTATATAACCGATTTGATAAAACTCGAAAAGGACTCGCAATGATTATTTTTGCGCTACAATTGGCTGAGATGATTCTTTTGAATTAGTAGAGAAGTGCAAAATTGTTGTCTATGTTTCCACCGAACCAATTTTGAAAATACAATAATTGTTCGAAAACATAATAAGAGTTGCAAATTGTGCTGTTTAGTTTTTGGTAAAGATTGCCAGAAGAATAGTTACTTGACTATTTTATAGAAACTTGCATAGTGATAGAGTTTCGATATGAAAAAAATTTTTTTTTGAAAAAAAATAAGATAAATAATTTTTTTTCCAAAAGCAATTGTTTTGCCAACACAAGCGGAAAGTTTTTTGAATCATTCAAAAAGGCAGGTCTAGCGGTTTCGGAGATACAGAGCTAAATGCGCAAAAAATGGCAGTTTTTGAGAGAACTAAGCGTCCGATTTGAATGATTCAAAGAACTTTCTGCTTGTTTTAACAAAATGATTGCTTCAATTCTTTTTTCAATTTTTTTTCAAAAATTTTTTTTTGTATGTCGAAAATAATTCAGATTTTAATTGTAATTCTGACCTAATTTCTAATATACTTTAAACAAATATTTTCAACTTTACAATTCAGTTTATATAATTCTTAATATTAGACAATGTTACAGTATTTATTTATAATAAACTATTTGAAAAGTTACGGTACGGGAAGTTCTAGCAATTTGCCTTAAGGCACGATGCCATACACACTACTAGTTTTTTTATTATTTTATATTAATGATAAATGCATAAAATTAACATTTATTTTTACTTTAAATATTTAATAATATACTTCAGTATAGTTTGAAATTTATAAAAAAAACGATATCGGGTAAATGGGGGCATCTATGAAAAAGCCCATGGACCCCCATGGCACAAAAATATTTGGGAACCTGTGCTCTAACTAAACGAACACCCTTAGGGTTTTACGAAGTCGTTTAATTACAAAACTTGCATTCGTCATTTTTATAAATCACAGGATTGTGGCCGAGCCGTTTCTTTGTTAGATGTTGAAAAAAATCATTTTCACGATTTTAATGAAATTTTGAATCATGATAGATTCGTGGTTTTAATAAACTTCCTGGGCTATCATGCGCATATGAAAAGTGGTTTAATTATGAAAATTTATCAAGTTTAAATAATGGGTCGCTTTAACATCTATAGTCGTCACAAATTTACAAGTTGCTAAAACTTAATGCTTATTGATTAAACCGATTATTTACACATATCGAAAAGTTCATACAACTTATCTTAAGGCAAAATGCTACTTACACTTAGTTAGTTTTAAGTTTATGAAGGTATTTTTTTAGGTTTATAACTTTGAATTTTTCTAAGGATCTTCATTCACTTAATAACCGTCCGCTTGTGTGTAATACGTTTGCTGTCGCTTCGTGTGAAAGCGACCTAATCATGTGATTTCGATTAAAATACTTATATTCAATGTTAACTGTTTTTGCACCACTAATTGCGCTAAACAATAATAATTTGTTTTGCAATTATATTAAACATCGATGTGCAAAAATTTTTTTTTTAATTTGGCAATATGAGATAAATTTTTTTTAGCCTTATATTCTTACTGGCTTAATATAAAATATTATTAACAATATAAATACATGATTTTAGATTCGTTTATATCTTGTTGCCTCTTAATTTATTTCATAGTCTTATATTTGTCACATTGAGGAAAATATTTCATCTTACATTAATACAAAAGAGCAATCTTATGTAAAATAGACGTATTAAATTAGTGTTTTTTTCAAATCGCATCTATTATATATGGATTTCAGTATAATATTTTATAGACACTTTTATAATTTACTTCTCGAAAGAGAGTTTGTTTTCTTGAGAAAATTTGATTCATGTTTCCTCGGCGTTTCAAGTCGAATCGAATGAGATCGAATTTGGAAAAAATGATGCGTGTATGCAAGCCGATTATTGACTTTTCATCAAGTGGTTTTTAAATTTTTGAAATCTGTACAGCCATTTCTGAGTAAACATAACAAACGATAAGTCAAACATTGTCTCAACATACAAACACACACACATAAACTTTTTCAATTTTGATCTCAAACGATTCAAAATTACTTGAAGGGCCGAGAAGAGATTATATTCGCAAGTTGGATTTTCTGGCGAAAACCTATCGTTCTTCATGGGGAAGTTATTAATTAAGCATCTTACTACTTATTCTACATAGAACATGTTGTAAGTGGCGTTTTTCCTTACTGCAAGTTGCACGAACTTTACGAAATATGTAAATCGATTAAATCGATAATAATTTGATTTAAATATGATCTACCTGTCTACTACTTTGTCTACCTGTTCACTTCATACTTGTCTACCTTCTATTTGTCAAACTGTCTTCTTGTCTACTGTTCTATCGTTCCATCTCTCTGTATACATATTTACCTATCTACCTTTTTATTTATTTATTTGTCTGTTTTTATATAACCTGTCTACCTGTATACCTGTCTATCCAGAGCCGCACCTGCCTTGCATGCGATGCATGCAAAAATTGCGGGCGTCCGCCTTAAGGGGTGCAAAACCGAGATTCGGAAATGAAATTTAAAATATATTATTCACAATTTTTTTTAAATATACAATCTAAAATTCTTAATAATCTAAGTTAACTGTAGATACGGAGACGCAAAAAGCATATTCAGTTTGCATTAATATTTGATTAATAACTCCGCTAATTAGTAAATTATTGTTCTGCTTATTGCTTAATCTACTCACTGAATTTTTACTTCGTTTGAAGTTAACGTGGAATCGAAAAAGAAATGATCTAGTGTTAGATTAAATTAATTATTGGGTATTATTGACGAAAAATTGCGAGCTGATTTAGTTGAAACGGAACTTGTTAAAAAAATAGATACTAATTATAATAGAGAAAAATGGAAAATGGGAGGTCAGTGTCTATAAAATAGCTTATTTATTCTGAGCAATTTAATTGTAACTGTTATTTTTGATGCAAATGTTTCGCATCTGATGAATTTTGAACGTTAAAGACATACGTGGTTAATTTTATGGAAGTGGAGCAAATATGAAAAATGCAAGAAAAATTTACTCTGGAACAAAAATCGTTAAACTTTTTTTATACCTAGTAGTGCCCATACTCTAAATTTAATTATTAACTATGCAGAAATAATACAGATTCAGATATAATTAGTTTTTTTAATATAGATATAAAAATATGTAATATCTTTGTATCTTTTACTAATCTTTGGGCAATTCTTTTAAAATACGTTAAAAATTTAACTTTAATGCAACAATCTGATACTCCGAATCTGATGGCAAAGTGAAGATGAATACTAATGATACTGAATAATAAGTTTTCGAAGCAATTTTGGATATTGTAAATAATGAAGAATTAAATTTGAAAGATCGAACATGAAATACAAGTGTTTCATTACGAGTTTATGTTTAAAAATGAAAGACTAGTTTTTTTGCTCTCTTGGCATGATTTGCTCAATAGAATAGATCGCATAATAAATAAGTAAAATGTTTAAAAACCAAATATTAATATTCCATATGCGTTAGAAATAATTGAAAATTAAACTAGTCTAGTGGTGCATGGCATCGTGCCTTAAGGCAAATTGCTGAAACTTTCCGTGTCATAATAAAATATTTGTAGAATATTAAATGCTTTCAAATAGATCATTATAAATGCTGTAACTTTGATTATTCTTATTTTATAGACAAAATATAAGAGCTTATAGATTGGACAATGACTTTTATATATGTTTACATGAAAAGTAAATAAACAAAACGAATGAAGAAGGTTATCTCAAATTTCTAAGAATTATATAAATTGAATTGCAAAGTTGAATTTATTCATTTGATGTGAGTTGTGAGTCATTATTAAAATTTATAAAAATATTTATATAATTTCAATGATAACCTTGAAACAGTTAAAATTATTGGTGGGCGGCGCTAGAAAAAAAAATTACATGTGGGTGCGCTGAGAACCCAGGACAGGCCCGGCGTCTATATATTTATCTTTCTTTTGGTCTATCCGTCAACCAGCCTATCTTTTGATCTTTCTAACTGCGTACCTGTTTACCTATCTATCTTTCTAATTGACTACTTGTCTATTTGACTACCCTTTTTTGTCTACCTATCTATATTGATAGGTCCATTTGCATTTGCATTTTTTTAACTTTTTACTACATATCCAAAACCACTGTACATCAGCCTTCGCAGAAAAGTAATCAATTCTTCATTCTATCGATACAAATAAAATGTTTTTTGTTGTTTCTAATCTGATGCTGCATTACTCAAAAACTTAATTTCCATTCATCAGTTGAACGTCAAACGTCAATGGGAATAAAATGTTTTTTGTGTCCTTTAAATAGGTTAATTCGTGCTTCCGAAATCGCCGACGAAAATACTATACGCACACATACATCCATTTTTCTAAGGTATGCCGAAAAAGTTTCATTAACGATTTTTTTTGGTATTACTATAACTTACACTACGGTATTTTGATAAGATGAAGTTTTTGATTATTATCTTACAGAAATATAAAATAGAAAGCAACTAGTGGGGTGTATGGCATCGTGCCTTAAGGCAAATTGCTGGTACTTCCCGTACCGTAACTAAATGTTCGAGGAATGTTAAATGTTTTCAAATAGATTATTATAAATATTATAACATTCTCTAATATTTATAAGAATTATATAAACTGAATTGCAAAGTTGAAATTATTTATTTAAAGTATATTAGAACTATAGTCAGAATTAAAAATAAAATCTGAATTATTTTCGATATACAAAAAAAAGTTTTTTTGAAAAAAGAAAAAAAAATGAAACAAAAAATTTCTGTTCAGCACATCTCCTTATCAATAGGAATCGAATGTTTTTTGAACCATTTAAATCGGTTGATCCATGCGCCCGAAAACGTGGACGAAAAATGGTATCAATACATACATACACACACATCCATTTTTTCTGAGGTATGCCAAAGTGTTCAGAAACCTTCAAAACGTCGAGAAATGTAAAAATTTTCAACTTCGATTTTCGGCCCATTACAATAACTTACTCTACGGGAAGTTAATTATATGTCTTGACACTCGAAAAGTGGCACAACAAAATAAAAATAACATTAAACTAGTTGTGAGTTGAATTTTGCCGTGTGGCCTATTGCATGAACTTTCTGATAATTGTATATTCTGGTAATTGTATCCATTTATTCAATAATAATATTTATATATATATATATATATATTTAATTTATATATATGTATATATATATATATATATATATATTTAATTTATATATATGTATATATATATATAATATATATATATATATATATTCTATCTGTATGTACTTCCCGTCTATTTGTTTATCCATCTACCTGTCTGTCCACATGTTTTCTATTGAAAATTAACATCTAGAACCAGGATTCTCTAATTATTATGTATCCTGAAGAACTCGTTAAATATTACTATTTTTGAGAAGTTGATAAAATTCGTTCTTCAATATTGTATTTGATTGATATTTTATTTGCAGAATCTCAGAAAATTTTCACTACGAAGGAAATTCGCGAGATGTCTAGGAAGAAATATAAAAATCTTCCGGAAGTGACCCAGAAGAAGAAGGATGCTCTCAGAAATAATCTGTACAGGAACAATCGGTTTATCGCGAATATTTTTAATAAGGTAAGAAGATTAAAAGTAATATTTTATTTTTATTCATGAGGCCTTTAATCAGTCCGTCATTTATCCCATCGTTACAGGTTTTATAAATACATTTTAACAAAATCTATTCAAAATGAACAAAGCAACATAAGTTTAAAAGTAAATAATTAGTATTATTTTCCCGACAGGAAGAAATAATTGCATTTTCTACTATTATCGACGTAACAAGAAATGAATCTCAATGTTTTTAATACTACGTCGATAAAAATTATATAAATATTTTAATATCAATTCGGTAATGTCGAAAAAATGTTACATATTCACAAACAGCACTTATAAATATGTTTTAGTTATTTTTTTTTAAACATTGTTGCACTATTTCAAATAGCAAATTAATTAATACTTCTGCTTAACACTATTATTATTATTTTGTAATTAGATTACTATCATTAGACGTTAAGCACAAAAGATGTTCGAGAATATCCGAAGAGGATCAAGCTTTCGAATATGCTTCGTAGACATTGTGATATACACAGTACTATGTAAGGTGTATTCTATGATATGCTCTTTTAAATCAAATATTCAGATATCTTTTTCAAATTTTTGACTTTTAGTGCTTATTGTATGTGTCCAAATAAGGCTTTGCTATGGCTTTTCTAATGCAATATATTTATGGTTATAGTTTTGTTTCTATTTATGAAGAGTCGTTATGTGGTTTTTCAACACAATTGCCGGACCGAAATTTTTCGAATTAGTAGTGTTCGTGCTGTCAGTACGTCTGAAGTGAATATTGGCACGGTGTTTATGTTTCTGTAATTTTATTTTGGTCAAATATTGGTTGAGAGTTTTGATATTTATTGATAAGGTTTTTACGCCCGAATGGCCCCAAAACACTGCCTTGCGGAACTCCTGCCTCAATCTGATGTGACGTTGAAGTTTTAGTATTGACACGGACTTTGAATTTCCTAAAATATTATAATAACCAGTTGGAAGCAGAGATCTGATCTCCGATGAAAGACCTTCCTGCCACACCTTATCAAAGACCTGGCTCACATCTAGAAAGGCTGCAGAACGGAATTGCTTGGCCTCGAAGTTATTGACGATTCAGTGCACTGTTGAATTGTAGAGTGCTGTCTGTGAAAACCAAACTGATGATCTGGAAATACTTTAACTACTCTACTACTATTGTTATAAATTGTTTAATCATTCGTGTTTTATAGACAAAATAGAAGAGTTTATAAATTGGACGATGACGTTTATATGAGTTCACATGAAAAGTGAATAAACTAAACTTCATCAAGCGAAGTTAGAATGAAGGACCTTATCTCATATTTCCAAGAATTATATAACTAAATTATAAAGTTTAAATTATTTATCTCAAGTATATTAGAGAACTTAGGAATTTTAGCTAACACAAAAATTAAAATCCGAATAATTTTTTATATTTAAAAAAATATATGTATTTTAAAAATAAAATAAGTGTTTTCCCAAAAATAATCGTTTTCTCAATACAAGCAAAGGGTTTTTTGAATCATCCAAATCGGATGCTTTGTTCTCTCAAAAACTGCCATATTTTAGTATCTCCTAGACGGCTGGGCCTGTCTTTGCCAAAAAATAATCACCACTTCTCCCCATCATTACGAATTGAATGTTTTTTTAATCATTTAAATGGGATGCTCCGTATTCTAGAAAATTCGATTTGGATTTTCTTCACTCAAAGAACTTCTAAAAAGCAAAGCTTCATATCTCCGAAACGGCTGGACCAACTTTTGCCATAACTAATCAGCACGTCTTCTTATCAATAGGAATCAAATGGTTTTTGAATATTTCAAATCGTTTGATCGGTGCTCATGAAAACGTCGAAATTATTCATTTTCCGATTACTATAACTTACCCTACGACGAGTTAAAAAATAAAACAGAAATTCACAAATAAAGAAATTCAAAAATAAAGTGTTACTAAATGTTTAAAAATTAGTATTCACTTTTCTTATGTTGCTAATGAAATATCAATAACCGCAGATTTAAGGCACTTACTTATGTAAGTTGACGAATGTTTTGTTTACTTCAGATAGATATTGGTTTCGCTTTGTTTTATCTGATCACATTAGATCATCACATCGTGGCCACCAATTGTATTTATGTTTGTTTAATTCTATTGTGGTCCACTATTGGTTACAGCTTTGGTATTTATTCATAAGGTTCGTATGCCATATCCGACTGAGGTGGAAGAGACTCTGAATCGTGGGTGTTTGGTATTTTTGTCGTTATAGGTAAGGGTACAGGCTTGCTGTTGATTTCCAGGGGTGGAATATACAGGGCTGAATTTTGTCGCCGCACATCCATATTCTTAGTTAACTTAAAACATCTGATTTCGTGGTTTCCAAACTTTGTTACTGATATGAATATCTGAATTAATATTATTCATTTCTATATGAATATAATCAGATATAAACAATTTTAACATACTAAAATGTATACTAATATTTTTAATTTTAATATGCTAAAATATATACTAATATATTTCTACTTTTTTTCAGAAATTACAAAAGAGAGTTCTTCAAGGCAAGCACACATTGTCTCATAGCTTTAATTTGATCAATGGAATCGACTGAGCACTGATCATTGTTTTGATAGATATAAATATTTTTTTAGTTTTTAGTTTCACTTTGTATTTTATATAGTATTTTAAATGTATATTTTGTATTATGTTGTGTTTGACTTTGAATATATTTTTTATACACTATATAGGTATTTTTGTAAATAATTTTAAAATATATCTATATTTAAGCTATGTCATAAATATAAGAATTAGAAATTTTAAGCGCATAGGTCTGAACGCGCGGCTCGAAAACAGGCGCTACTAAGCTCGCTAAGAATGTCACCTCACTTCGATATTATTGAGATCCATATAAAAATCTATGTTTTAGAATAATTTTAATGAATTTTAGGATAATTGTCAAAGTTATTAGTTTGCTCCTGCACTCAACATCCTATGCTTATTTAGCTATGATATTACCCTATCCTATGCGATACTAAATCTTTCTGACCAATTATTCGCATCGTTCAGGACTAAAAAGTCTCCAACATTCCAATTCGTTCTACAGCCTCCTTGGTGGGAATATATAAGTTTTTCCCACACCTCTGCCTAGAGCCTAAAATTTTATAATAATGAATTGATTTTAGTGTTTATAATTTTGTTTTAATTTGATCTCCATCTTTGTGTATTTATGTACGTTCTACAGTGTAGAATGTTATAATTCGAGAGACTATTGCAGATTATTTAATTTTGTACAATGTTATTAACTACAAATTATTGTAAAACGAACACGTGTCTAATACATACACAGAAAATTTTCTAAATGCGCGGCCGATTTATCCAGATTTTCATTAAATTTTATAATTAAATAACTTTTTGTGGGACTATAATATTTTAGTATGTTTCATCAAAATTCTCTCCTTTTTTTAATCTGCCTGGCAGAACTTTGCAAAAAACTAATCAGAACAATTTCCAAATTCACATAGTTTTTGAATTTCCAAAGTCCGTTCAGAATTTTTGGCGTATGAAAATTTTTGCACATTTCTACTAATTATAAACTGAAATTCATATAATTTTCGATTTATATTGATGGGGAGATGTGCTGCTTAGTTGCTGGCGAAAGCAGGTCCAGCCGTGTCGAATATATGGGATGAAAAGTGCCAAAAATGGCAATTCAGTTTGTGAGAGACCGGAGCGTACAAGTTGAATGATTCAAAAGTCATATTACTTGTATTGACGGAATGAAAAAATAATTTAATTTTTAGAAAAACAAGTTCAGCGGGTTCGAAAATCAAGAAAAAAAGGTTAAAAAGGACATTTGGACAGTGGTGAAACATTATCATTGGACATATGCACGTCAAATTATCACAAATTGTATAGATAATGTTCAGTTTTTAAATTTCACTTATAGTCCAAACATTACGTCTTTGACATTTTGGAGAGTATGAGTCAAGCGATTTGAATGATTCAAAAACCATTTCGTTCGTGCGTACTGATTGAGAGGCGTACTAGTTAGCTTTTGAGGAAGGCACGCCTAGCCGATTCGGAGAAACAAAAATTTAATCAATTTATTTTATTAATAATGAATTCATTAATAAAAATTAATTTCGTCAATGCAAATAAGAATTTGAATCATTCAAATCGTATGATCCGTTGTCTCAAGAACTGAATTATCATTGTCTTGGTTTGAACTGGTCGATCCGTTTTGTTGAAATCGTCGACAAATAAATGTATCTTTTCATACATACACATGCACTCACACGCAATCTTCGAAAAGAAGAAGTGCAAATGACATTATTAATGAGGAAAGCACAAGTAAGAGAGCGAGTCATAGCATTCTAGATCCTCCCCTCATGATGTAATGTCTAACGGCGGTTTTCGTGAGAACTGGCAAGAGTTAAGCGGAGGTTTTAGCCGATATTATACCTAGACAGTATTTGTTCGGGCATAGCCAGACAACAGACCCAGATGCATTAAGAATTTCCTTCGCAAAACAAAAAAAAAACACTCACACATGAGTCATTCTGAGGTTGCACACGAATTTCTTATGCAGACGGTAAGCGAAATGAAAACTGATATTGCCTTCTTATCAGAACCTTACAAACCACTAACTTATAGATACACTAACTGATCTGCAATATCTGATTTTGTTAACTTCCCGTAGGGTAAGTTATAGTAATCGCAAAAAAATCGAAAATGAAAATTTTTATATATCTTTACGTTTCAGAGGTTTCTTAACATTTTGGCATACCTTAGAAAAAATGGATGTATGTGTGTGTGTGTGTGTGTGTGTGTGTGTGTGTGTATGTATGTATGTGCGTGTGTGTATGTATGTGCGGATACAAATTTTCGTCGACGATTTCGGGAACACGGATCAACCGATTTGAATAATTCAAAAAACATTCGATTCGTATTGATAAGGAGACGTGCTGATTAGTTTTTGGCGAAGGCAGGTCCAGCCGTTCCAAAGATGCGGGGCAAAAAGTGCCGAAAACGGTAACTCAGTTTTTAAGAGAACGGAGCGTCCGATTTTAATAATTCAAAAAACATTTGACTTGTATTGACAAGATGAAGAATTGATCAAATTTTCATGAGGCAGGTCTAGCGGTTTCGGAGATCTAACAAAAAAAGTAAAAAAAATGCCATTTGTCGGTCAAAAATGATCATTAGACATATGCACATCAAATTATCAGATATTTTATAGAGATTTTAACAATAAGTATAAATTTTGTTTGCATTCCTATGGGTTCCGTACCAATATTTATTCGTTAGACGGTGACGCGGCGCTTACGCGCTTTGACATTTTGTCTCTATGCAGTTAAAGCAGTACGATTGCTTTGAAAAAAGATCTTCCAAAATATGCCAAAATAAAGAAAACATTATATTTTCCAAAAAAAATTAAAAAAAAAAAAAAAAAAATTAGATTTTTTTTTGAAAAAAATTTTTTTTCAAAAAAAAGTAATTTTTTGTTTAATTTATAGTTTTTCAAAAATCTTATTTTTTCGAAGTAAATTTTTTTTAAAAATGTCAATCGTTTTTAAAAAAATAATAATTTTTGGTACGGGAAGTTCCAGCAATTTGCCTTAAGGCACGATGCCTTAATTGCCTTAAGACAGAATTCCACTTACAGCTAGTTGATTTCTTAGATCGAATAGTAGACAATGCAAAGCAGCACCACTCCGTAGCGATAGCCGACGGTAGTAGGCAGACTAATGCAAGAGGTAAAGAAAGCGCTTTTTGAGGCTTTTATTGCACTGGATATGGTTTTTTAGCGGTAAAAAGCCAACCTTTGTCAAGGGCAACGCAAGTAAAAAAAACATCAGCCAGCAAAAAAGTAAAAAAAAATACAAGCAGTCAATGAATTTATGTTAATTTTAATTACATGAATATCTTCAAACACAATTATATGATAAGGGAAGTTGCGAAAACAATATTTGTTTAGACGTTGTTTAACATAATCCACTGTGTGAATGAATATTATAGAATTTATTAATCAGCAATTACTTCATTTCTCTAATTAGTCTCTGGTGATGTCTAATGTTGGGGGCCTAATACAAAGATGGTGAATAATACTATTTGCAGTATTTACAATTTATACGGTGTTTCTATATGGGCTGATGCACTCAAAACTCAAAAATCGCGGAAGTAGCAGGACTCATATACGGCCTGAGTTGATTGCACATTTCGCACAATATCGGAGGAAGCAGTATGCGTCATTTCAAGAACTCTGCCTCTCATAGTCTTAGCAGAGGCAAGACGGGCAATTTACTAACAAAGAAATCAATAACTGAATCCAGAAAATTTAAGAATAGAAAAACTGCAAAGTTTTTGAACACTTTGGCATATCTTAGAACAAAATGGATGTATGCGTGTGTGTGTGTCGCGGATACAATTTTTCGTCGACGATTTTGAGATTGCGAATCAGCCTATTTGAATGATTCAAAAAAAAAATTCGATTGCTATTGAAAAGGAGATGTGCTGATTAGTTTTACCAAAGGCAGGTCCAGCCTTTTTAAAGATACTGGGCAAAAAGTTTGGAAAATGGTAATTTAATTTTTGAGAGAACGGAGCGTCTGATTTGAATGATTCAAAATACATTTTATTTGTATTGACGAAATAAGGAACTGCGGGTCTGGCGGTTTCAGAAATCCAATGAAAAAAGTAAAAAAAAATGTCATTTTGCGGTCAAAAATGATCATTAGACAGATGCACATCAAATTATCAGATATTGTATAGAGATTCTAATAATAAGTACGAATTTGGTTTATATTTTTATGGGTTCCGTATCAATGTTTATCCGTTAGACTGCGACACCGCGCTTACGCTCTTCCTGTTATATCAGTTAAGGTGGGCGGTTGCTTTGGAAAAAAAAATCAATAATTTCAAACAATTTCCGAATAAAAAAAATCCAAATTTTTCAAAAACATGTTTTTTTTAAAAAAAATTCTACATTCTCAAAAGTTTTAAAAAATTCAAAGCTTTTTTAAACAAATTCAATTTTCTGGACGGGAAGTTCCACCAATTTGCCTTAAGGCACGATGTCATGCACTACTAGTTTAATAATTCTTTTACAGATAGCCCAGTCTCCATATAAAGTCGCGGTGAATTTATATTTCTTAGAAGAATGATTGGTGAATCAATTTTTAATGATAATATATTTGGTGTAATTCCTGATACATCTAATGAACTTAAAAATTCTGTTGGGCAAATCACAGATTCATTCTAATTTGCAAGAGATATTTTATGATGAATTATGCAGTTTATTGAATTGATATCAATGTTTTTGGTTGCCAATATAGCGTGCTCACTAATCCATTGATCACCTCTCTCAAAATAAACAGTTTTGCAATAAATTTTGAAAATCTCTGGCAATCAATTTATCATTGGATTTCACAATGTATCAGAATGTTTTTTAATGTAAGGTAATATTTTACTTGTTCTTGTTGAATTGTCTATTTCTATTTTTACGATGCCTTTACCCAACAATTGTTTAGCAAATAGTTCTGAAGATTCATCTTGCTGCAATTAAACACGTATAAATAATGGTCTTCAAAGATATCTTTTTCACATACCGGC